CCTCTTCCCTGTACTGGCTGTGTGACCCTGGCAAAATCACTTACCCTCTCGGTGTCCTTGGACAACTCTATAAGATTTTAAGTTGTATAAGAGTTACAGAACTGAAAGGGTAAAAAGAACTTCCTTACCAGGGGCATCTTCTACTAATGAAGCCACAGGATTAAAAAAAATTCCCCAAGAAAGAACTGTGGTCTTGAAGAGAGAATATTGGAGCTGTAGTCAGAGAGCTGGGTTCAAAGTTTGTTTCTGGTATTTGTATTACTATGAGCAGAGACCTTTATCTCTCTAAACCTCAAGTGACAGGATGCCTCAGTGAAGGGAATTTCCATGCTAAAAGAAATCATGGGTCCTTAAGGTTTTGTCTCCCCAAAGGGCTATTCCCTAGTAATAAATTTTGGAAATGGCATTAACTATGGCAAGGCTCCCATATATTATTATATTGGACTGATGAAATTGTAAACTTTTCCCTTTAAATGTTATAGAAAATAATGGGTCACAAAGTCTGTAGAGGCATTTGAAAACACAGCCAAGGCATTAGTCACTAGTTATATGGGGAGGGGGGTAGACCTGGGTAGTAAGGAGGCTGGGTACTCAGAGAAGCAAGGCTGCTCTTTGCACCTCTCCAACTGAACTGGCTGCCAAGGCTGGGAGATTTCCACTCTCCAAGCTGTCTGTCTGATCCAACCCTAAAAATAGACAAGCACCATTCTGCCCTCTCAAAAATGACAACAGGTGCCTGGAGCTAAGTCTCCAGAGCCCCAAAGTGCGGCTGCAGACATCTTCTGGGACTTTTCCTGGCGTGTTGTCCATCATCCTTCCATTATTCCCCTCCTCCCCCAAAATGGGAGTGGGTAGGTAGATTTTGTGGTAGATAGAAAATCCCAAAATATTCTTTTGTCTCTGAGATGGTTGTCTTCAAGGGGTTAACAAGTGCCAAAGATTTGCTTCCAGGGAATTGCTTTAGATAGAGAGAGAAATTGGCTGAATGTGTGTGTTACCTTCAAAAACTAGATCTTGACGTGGGTATGTTAAGAAAGATTTTGAAGCAGGAGTAAATGAGAAGACCGCATTCAACCATCTTCTCAAAGGTACTCCCCAGTGCCTTGGACTTAGGGATTTGACCCAAGCTCTGTAATTCGGGAAGGAAGAGGTTGACCTTCAATGCTTCCACTTCGGCTACTCTGGAAGCGGAGGTGAGAGGACTGGATACACTTTCATTCTTTAAGTCACCTCCAAAGTACTCTGTCCTGGGCTCTAACTGGTTCTCCCTTCAACATCACATAGCCAATCCTTGAGCTACTTTCTGGACTGTGGGAGCTGAATTTTATTCTGAATTGGGATGTCAGAGACTGGCTCACAAAAGTTATATTTTTTTAAAAAAAAATTCAAAAATAAGTTTATTGATGTCTATTGTTTTTTATTTCATAGTCACTTCTGGATAGAGCCTTCATCATAACTTCCCCAGGACCTCACCCTGCCTTTTGACATCAAAGACAAACAAGGAAAATAGGTAATTAGAAATAATGCATATAGTGATCAAGTTTGATTACCACATTCTGTCCCTGCGGTTTCCCACCTCCCTGCCATGAAGAAGGTAGTATGTTTTATTGCAATGTTTCACATTTTTTGTTCCCTGTAACCCTTCTTTTTTTGTTTGTTTTTTCTTTTTTTTAAAAAAAATAATTAATTTATTTTTAGTTTTCAACATTCACTTCCACAAGATTTTGAGTTCTAAATTTTCTCCCCCTCCCTTCCTTCCCACCTCCCCAAAATGGCATGCAATCTGATATAGACTATTCATATATATTCATATTAAATATATTTTCACATTAGTCATGTTGTAAAGAAGAATTAGAACTAATGGGAGAAACCACGAGAAAGAAGAAATAAAAGAAAGAGAAAGAGCAAATAGTATGCTTTGATCTGCATTCAGACCCCATAGTTCTTTCTCTGGATATGGATAGCATTTTCCATCATAAGTCTTTTGGAGTTGCCTTAGATCCTTGGATTGCTGAGAAGAGCTAAAACTATCCAAGTTAATCATCACCCAATGTTGCTGTTACTGCGCATAATGTTCCCCTGGTTCTGCTCACTTCACTAAGCATCAGTTCATGTAAGTCTCTCCAGTCTTTTTTCTGAAGTCTGCCTTCTCATCATTTCCTATGGAACAATAGTATTGCATTACATCCATATACCACAACTTGTCCAGCCATTTCCCAATTGATGGGCATCCCCTCAACTTCCAATTCTTGGCCACCACAAAAAGAGTTAACTATAAATATTTTTGTACATGTGGGTCCTTTTCCCATTTTAATGATCTCTTTGTATCTCTTGGTTTTCAATAAGCCTTCCTGCAAACTTTGTTCAATACGAAATACGGAACAAATTCTAAAATTTACTATACACATACATGAGAGAAATAGATCTCTCATACACATGAGAGATTAAACTCATTTTTTAAAATATAACCAATTATTAAAAAATTATAAAATAATTAGATTGATTTTTCATAAAGAAAAAAACAACCTTTGACAAAGTTCTTGGTGCTTTTGGGATTATACACACCCTAGGATGGGAACCTTTGTTTTATTGTCTCTTCTCTGGAGCTGAGATTGATCAGAGTTTGCCTTATTTTTGGTATTCCTTTCATTTGCATAATTTTGGTTAATGTATATCTTGTTCTGTTTCCACTAATTTCATTATCTATTATTTAATACCTGGCTTCCTGTTTTTCTGAATTTCTACTATGAGTCACTTTTTATCAATTGACCAATGAACAAGTCTTTATTAAGCACCTACTGTGGACCATATATTGTGTTAGGTACTGGGGATACAAGTGAAAAAGAAGGAAACGATCCATACTTGGAAGGACACTACATTCTAAGGGGGGGGGATTACATATAGGGGTATATGTTGTCCTATGTTGAGAGGGAAGTCACTAGGAATTAGGAGGATTAGTCAGCTGGTCAACAAGCTTTTATTAAGTACCTACTACGTGCCAGGTGGACAGTCAGGTGGCACAGTGGATACAGTGCTGGGTCTAGAATCAGGAAGATTCATCTTCATGAATTTAAATCTGGCCTCAGACACTTGCTAGCTGTGTGACCCTGGGCAAGTCACTTAATCCTGTTTAGCTCAGTTTCCTCATCTGTAAAATGAGGTGAAGAAGGAAATGGCAAACCACTCTAGTATTTTCACCAAGAAAACCCCAAATGGAGTCACAAAGAGTCAGACATAACTGAAATGACCAAATGAAATATGTGCCAGGAACTGTGTAAAGCATTTAGGAAAAAAAAAAGGCCAAAACACAGTCCCTGTTCTAAAATGGATCACATTCTAATGGGAGAGACAATATCTAAATGACGAAGTACATATAAGATATATACAGTATAAATGGAAGACAATAGCTAGCAGTGGAGGATGGGGGTTAGTACCAGGAAAAGCATGTTGGGAGGTGTGATTTGAGTTGAGTCTTGAAAGAAGCCAGGGAAGCCAGGAGGTAAAAGGAAGAAGTTAGAGCACTCCAGGCAATAGAGAAAGCCCATGGGTGTGGAGATGGAATCTTGTGTTTTGGGAACAGCAAATAGGCTTGGTTATAGAATGTGTTGCAGGCAGTAAAGCATTGTCGTTGTTTGTCCATCGTTCTCAAAGAGGACCGTGTCATCAGAAAGGTGATGCCATGACTTGCAAGGGGAATGGATTTAAGTGAAGGAGGGTTGTGCAAGGTCATCAGCCTCACTCTCTGTCCAGTGGCAAGATATAGATCAGGACATAAAACATCTACTATAATCCAGAATGGGTGAAAAATTTTTGTAGTGTGAACTTCAAAGAAATAGGGGTTGCTGAGTGATGGTGATAAAGGGAGAGTCTAGAAGTAGCAGTAGGGAACAAAAAGTAGACTTATTTCTCTTTCAGGACCAGTGTGTTGAAGAGCAAGGTGAAAGTGTAGCAGTAAAGAGAAGGGTCAGGCATGTAGTATCACCAGGGGGAAAATGAGATCTCAGTACTAATAGATGGAAGAAATGTGAGAAAAAGAACTATAGGACAAAAAGAAGTTTGTTCACCATGGAATGGGAATTCCAGAGGGCACCATATAAGGGGTGGTCAGAATTGGAGTGAGAACCTACTTCAAAATAATATCATATTCATATGCCTCATTTTGTCATCACAGTCATATACCACAATTTGTTCAGGCATATCCCCAAATTATAGACCCAGACATATTTTTCCCTTGCATTAGTTTCACCTCCAAAACTTCATTAAGTTTGGAAAGCAATGATTTATGCATTTCATGACAGAAGGTACTTGTTTTACTTCTCAGCCCCATCAACATAGGTTACTGGAGGTGTGTTCTGTGCTTTCCTCCTATATCTCCTGCCAAGTCATCTGTGACTTAATCAACAGTAATGTTAGCTGTGACTGGTCACAGGTCACATGTTGAATAGCACATTTACACTCCTTTTGACCACTAAATTCTTTCCTTTCCTGGTCACTTGAAAAAAAAAAACCTCTTCTTACATAGTAGCTATCAACACATGGATCTGATGAACTCAGAAAAATGGCTTCAACATAACATGCCAAAGGTCACACCTGCAAACCTTCCATCCTGCTGACACTGGAGCTGTATTACGATGGACTTGTTTGTCTCACTTTTTATTATGACTTACTAGAGCATTTAAAATACTTTCCTTTATCTACATTGCTGGTAAACTGGGTTTTGTGTCACTTCAAAGAACTTAAGTTATATGGTGGCTAATGCCAAATGAAATTAACTCCGTCAACTGACCCTGGATGACTTTTAATGATAGCATATAAAAATTCCATCCTTAATACTAATTGAATTACATTGCTTGGAAGTAAGGGACACTATAGCTGAAGGATACATGGTTATTCTAGTAGAAAAAATACCCAAAAAAATCATGACATAGTAGACAGAGCACTGGATTTGAAATCAAGAAGACCTCAGTTCAAATCTTACCTTTGATAAGTACCAGCTGTGTGACTATGTGCAAAACTCTGTAAGCCTCAGTTTCCTCATCTGTAAAATAAGGAGAGTAATACCACTTACTTCACAGGGTTGCTGTAAGGATCAGTTGAGATAATGTATATTAAGCACCATGTAAACATGAGCTCATATGTTTATGAATCAAATACATGCATCATCATACGAGCAGATTTAAATCCAAAGGTATAGGATGTGGCTACTGGTTTCTCACTGCACGTATCTTATTGAAGAAGCTCAGGTCACTCCCTGGTCAGGACTTTGTGGTCTGAAAACACACAGATGACTAAAAATCAGCCCACTTAAAGGCAAAGTCATTAGGGAGAGAAGCTAAGCTGAGGGTCCACCATTAGGGAAGAATGCCATTGTCAAAAAGAACCTGCCAGAGTGCTTGAGAGGAAGGGGATTCAGCAAGAATCTACATTTCATCCTCCTCCATTCTCAGGCATGGAACAGTAAGGTTCAAGTTCATCTAAGAGAGCTTACTGAGGAAGCCAGGCAAATACAAGGAGGCTCAATACAAAGGGAGAAGGAGAAGTGAGTTGGTGAGAAAGTTTTAAACAAATGGAAAACCCTGTTCTTTGTGCTGTGCTTTTTCAGCATGTTCAGTCTTTGTGATAATGTCCTTAATGGTGGTGGAACCGATAGGGCACTGGACTTGGAGTCAGGAAGGCCAAGGTTTGAATCCCAATTCTGATACTTGCTAGCTATGCCATGCCCAGCTTAGCCTGACATACTGAGAGCTGAACATAGCCCAGGGAAAGAGCGCACCATCAGGAAATTCGTTTTCTACCAAGGATATCTAAACCAGAAAGGTCATTCTAGGAAAGGGGGGAGGAAGGGAGGGAGAGGAAGAGGAGGAGAAGGAGAAGGAGAAGGAGATGAAGAAGAAGAAGAAGAAGAAGAAAAGAAGAAGAAGAAGAAGAAGAAGAAGAAGAAGAAGAAGAAGAAGAAAAGAAGAAGAAGAAGAAAGCTGTTCAGGTTTTTAGCTTTAAGATACCTATAGATGTCACTAAAGACTCTTATCCTCCATTTCCTCATCTGTAAAATAGGAACAATAATATTTGTATTACCTAGTACCTAGGGTTGTTTTGAAGCACAAATAATATAACAAAGACAAAGCCTTTTACAAACTTCAAACACAATGTAAATTTCAGCTGTTATTATCACTATGCCAGGAATTCATTCATTTAATAAACATTTCTTAAGCATCTGCTAACTCCTTCACTAAAATACCTCATCCTGGCATGGAGATGCCCCTACGTTTTCAAAAACTGTGCCAACATAAAGTGAGTTCTGACAAGTCTTACCAAAATGAAAAGGCTTCAAGTGTGGGACTAGAAGTAGCCCGTCTGCCTGTTTTCTGAGACTAGCCTATGTAATAATAATAATGATAATAAAAATAACAATAATAATAATTACCCAATCAATGGTTTAAATGGATGCCAATTCACCAGTGTTCCTGGGTTCCTTCCAGGCCTTCATAGCTATTATGCATTCCTTTGTCTAGTATTCTCCTATTTTGCCATTCCCCACCCTCAACCCCTCTCTCCCCCATGGTTTAGATTATTAGCTGGACCTTGAGGGAGGTAATAATAACAGTAGCTTAACATTTATACAGCACTTAGGGGTTTGCAGAGAACTTTATAGACATTGTCTCTTGATTCTCACAACTACCCTGTGAGGTAAATGCTATTTTGGTGCTATTACTATCAGCATTTTACAGATGAGGAAGCTGAGGTTTAGAGGGCTTAAGTGACTTACCTAGTATCCCCACCAGCCAGCAAATATCTCAAGCAGGATTTGAATCCAGGTGCAGAGAAGCTCAACTCTAGGGCCTTAGCCATCAGGTGATGATTTTTTCCCCCTTAAAACTCATGAAGACCATCTGGAGTAAATGCAGACAAAGAATTTTACTGTGCGCTGCCTTCGAAGAGCTGATGAGGGAGATAAGACATGTACATAAACAAATATAATTCAAACCACAGTATGAGACAGGTACAAAGTGCAGGGACAGTTCTGAGGGAAAAAAAGGCTCTTTTGTGGCTGGGGAGGTTTTGTGAAGGCATCCTCATCAGTCTTGAATGCTGAATAGGTAAAAAGGGAGAAGGGCTTCCGAGGTAAGGAAAGCAAAGGAGATGGATAGGGAGATCCTAAAGGGAACCCTGTGAAAATACAATAGGGAATCTCAGTGCACGAAACAAAAGGCAGTTAAGAAATGATGGCCAGAAAGACAAAGGGACTTGGAACAAGAAGGAAAAGAACCTCTTCTCCTAGACACACAAGTTAGTAAAGCCCGTGTAAACTTACCATGTTCAGAAGAACCAAGAACAGTGAGCTCAAGGCAAGCTCCTGTAGAAGAAAAGTACCCTTAAGAAAGTTGTGGCTAGCTGTGTGACCCTGGGCAAGTCACTTAACCCTAACTGCCTAAAAATAAATGAAAAAAAAAAGTTGTGGGAAAATATCAGAAAGTGAAGAGTTGTGGGCATCTCGTCACTGAAGGCAATGAGAACTACACACAAGGAAATGATCATCTATAGTGCCTGTAATAACATGAAATAAAATGACGACTGGAACGCCATCCACATTCCCTTCATGTTGTAGCAAGCAATTTCCTTTCTTAAAAAACATCAACTCAACCACTTCTGATCTCCTGGAAAACCCATTCCTTTTTCATGTTGCTTTTTGAGTCTTCTTCGTGGGGGTTCCTAGCTCTGCTTCTTGCCATGGCTTTTGTTGGTTGGTATAAGAAAATGAGAGGTAGCTAGGTGGCAGGGACAGGAAGACCTTGAATTCAAATCTGGCCTTGGACACTTACTAGCAGTGTGACCCTGGGCAAGTCGCTTCACCCTGTCTGCCTCAGTTTCCTCATCTGTAAAATGAGCTAGAAAAGGAAATGGCAAACCACTGCAGTGTTTTTGCCAAGAAAACCCCAAATGGGGTCACAAAGAGTTGGACACAACTAACTGACAAAACAACAACAGAAGATGAAGGCTTGGTATCTAAACTAGGGAAGTTGATTGAGTTCACGTTTTAAGCGGAGTTACACAACACAAACGCAACAAAAATTTCAGGTCTGACCATGTTACTCCTCTACTGGAGAAGCTTCATTGGCTCTCACCTCAGACACTTGCTAGCTGTGTGACCCTGGGCAAGTCACTTAGCCTCTGTTTGCTTCCATTTCCTAATCTATAAAACAACAACAACAACAACAACACCTACCTCCCAGGATTGTTGTGAGGATCAAATTAAATCATAATTGTAAAGCCCTTAGCACCATGCCTGACACGGAGTAAGCATTTTACAAATGTTAGCTATTATTGTTGTTGGAATTATTATTTTTATCTCCTCTGTTTGGCACTTAAAGCTCTTCACAATTTATCTTCAACCTCTCTTTTTAAGCTGATTCCACAATGCTCCTGGTCTGCCTAATCTATGTTCTGGCCAAACTAGACCATATACTTTCCCCCACCCCCCATATTCCACCTCCCACTTCTATATCTTTTCAAAGGTACCCCCACCCTCACTATGACTGGAATGCTCTACCTTCTCAACTGTGGCTCTTGGAAACCCTCGCTCCCTTCCAAAGTTCTGCTCAAGTCACATGTCCGTCAAGAGGCCTTTGATGATTCCTACCTCAGCTGTTAGGGCTCTCCCCACCGCTTTTTATTTGGCATATATCCTGATTTTCTCTCTGAACAAGGTATTTCTCTCTAGTAGAATGGAAGCTCCTGGAGGACAAGAACAGTCACACTTTTACATTTGTATTCCTAGCACCTAAAACAGTGCCTGCCATATAGAAAGAACTTTAAAAAATGTCATTTGATGGATTGTCATTGATTAGTCTAATTGCAAGTAAATTATTAGTACAATGGCAGAAAACATAAAAACTAGAGAAAATGCAAGACAGAAATGGTATTGTGTTAACTTCTAAGTCTATTTCTCACTTTTTAGTCAAGAAATTCTACATATCTCTTACAATTTGGGCACAAGTATTATTTACTTTACACCTTAGAAATATTCCTAAAAATATTTGTGAATGAATCATCTCCCTGATTCTTTCCACCCCTTTTTAGCTCCTTGAGGGCAATTCTCATATTTTTATCCCCATTGCCTGGCACATAGTAAGCACTTAATAAATGCTTGTTTCCTTCCTTCCTTCCTTCCTTCCTTCCTTCCTTTCTTCCTTCCTTCCTTCCTTCCTTTTTTCCTTCCTTCCTTCCTTCCTTCCTTCCTTTCTTCCTTCCTTCCTTCCTCCCTTCCTTATTCCTTCCTTAGTTTCCTTCTTTCTTTCCTTTCATCCTTCCTTTCTTCTATCCTCACTCCCTTTTTTCTTTCTTTCCTTCCTTCCTTCTTTCTTTCCCTCCATCCATCCTTCCTTCCCTTAACTGACAAATAATCAAAGGATATTCACAGGCAGTTCTTAAGGGAAAAGATTCAAGCATTCAACAATCGTATGAAGAAAATGCTCCAAATTACAAATAATCTGAAAAATTCACATTAAAATCACTGTTTCCACCTCACATCCCATCAAATTGATGGTGACAAAAAAGAAAAATGACAATTGTTAGAGGGGCTATGGGAAGATAGACACACTAGGAGGGTGTAAATGAGGCTTAGAATTGGTCTAGAAAGAGACACAGACAAGTAAAACAGCTTTGAAACTGTAATTTATTGTATGATTTTGAAGAGAAAGGCAAACTGTTTGTAATAGACATGAGAAATTTCATATGCAATCCTCTTTTTCTCTTCTTTATATAAGCATATGCTCATGTTCATAGATTTTTGCCAAGTTGCAAATAACAAAAAATAAATACATAAAATTACTTTTTAAAAAGAAAGTGAATAAATGCTCTCCCTCTTCTTTGGCAGAGGTGAGGTACTATCATACATTGCCAACTTTGGCTGACCTCCTGGTTTTTGCTGAACTGTTTTTTCCCTTGTCTTTTTTGTTTGCTTGTTTATTCTTTTATAAGGCACGACTCTCTGAGGAAGAAAAGAATGAAATATAGATTTGAAAATGAAGGTGACAGAAAAACAAAGGATATCAATAAAAAGTTTTTCAAAGAAAGTGAACAAGTTTCAGATAAAAGGCTGTTTTCTGCAACTTGATTTTCATGCCCAACACTGACCTATCCTTTCAACCCAAAATCATTTGCCAGTGAAGCTCACTGGAGATAAATAATTACCAAATAGATTTCTAGTGTTTGGCACCCCCTCCCAAAAAGAGGTTGTTCAAACAAAAATATCTCGTCCTAGCCCTGAAAAAAACATTTGTAATCCATGATTGTAATAGCATTCTGATTTTTTTTCTGTATCACTGATCCTGTTTATTATGCCTTATAGTCAACGCACATCCAGAGTACTCTCTTCAGTTCAGGGCTCCGTAATTTCTGAAGGACATTGGTAATCTCAAGAGTTTACAGAGGAAGGCAATCATAAGAGTGAAAGGTCTTTGAATCTCTATCATGGGAATATTGGTGGAGGGATCTGGGCACGTTTAGTCTATCTACAGATGACAAGATTCAAGGGGATCATGACAACTCTATATAAAGGGCTGTCATATGGAACAGAAATTCATTTTATTCTGTTTGATCCCATAGAGCAGAACCAGGGGTAATGAGGTTCATTTAGGCTTGATATCAAGAGAAACTAACTATTGGAATGCCTTGGCTAATGGATTGCTGACCCTCCTTGGGAATCTTCAAAGGCTGGAGACAAATTAGTGGCTACTTTATGCCAGTACTTCCTTTTTGGGTATTGGTTGTACTAAATGGTCATAGAGATCCCCTCTAACTCTTAAATTATGTGGTTATTGTGTGAATAAAATATTGGGATGATTCAAACAGAATATGTTGACCCCAGTGGTATTAATTGGTACAGAAAAGAAAGGTGAGGAGGAAAAGAAATGAAGACCTGAAAGGGAAATTTTGTTAGCAAGTGAATGAATGAAAAAGTCTTAATTAAATGCTTACTATGTGTTAGGTGCTATACTAAGTACTAGAGATGTCAATATAAAAAGCAAAACAGTGCTACCCTCTAGGAACTTGGATTCTAATAGGAGGAGATAACACATATAAGATGATAGTGACCTGGGAGGGGTGTTTTGCTCAGAGATGGTGACTGGAGGCATTGGGCATAGAGAATAAAAGGGTACCATCTTCAGTAACCCAGCGCAGAGGGCTGAGTCTCCAAATACTGGAAGCCAGAACCACATGACTCCAAGATAAAAGGAAAGCAAAGGGTGAAAAATTTGGCGGCTTCGCTACTAAAAAGATGTAACTCCCCGAAGATTGTACCCATGTGGGATTTTAATTACCCAGACATCTGTTTAGCGAAGTGTATGACTAAATCGGGATCAAATACAGAGCTCAAGTTACGTGAGCTTGAGATGACATTCATGACTCAGAAAGAGGAGCTATCAGCCAGGGGAAAATCAATCCAGGCTTTGCTTCAGACCAACAGAGAAGCAATTATTTTGGACACGGAGCTACTTAGCATCCCTGACCATGAGCGTAATTAAGTAATTCCTGGCCCCTGCCCCTAGCATCAGACAGAAGAAACTACTGTATTTAACTATCAGTAAGGTGCACTCCCAATTCCTTCCTTCCTCTCCCTTCCCTTCCTCCCTCCCACATATATTTTGTGTAGTTTTTTTTTTAAAAATTATAACTTTCTTTTCCTATTTACATCACTTCCCTCCCCTGTTTCCTATACTCATCCAGACAAACAGAGAGAAGCAGAAGAAAGGTCTTGGTGCCAATGTTCTCACACTTGGCACATGAAGAGAGTCATGGGGATACGAGCTCTTCCCCTCGACTAATTATCTCCAATCTACCCTGTGTTCAGGGTATCCCAAAAACCTTAGCACAGTTCTAAGCTTTCTCA